ATATATATATATATATATATATATATATACACATACAAAAAAAAGACAGAAAATAAAAATACAAAGAAACAGAGCAGAAGAAAATCAAACAAACTGTTCCTTTATCGACCTTTATCGGCGTATTATAATCATCATTACATGAACTATATATATAAAAGCATACAACACACTAGGGTTGTCTAGGCTGGATCAGGTTACTAGGTTGTTGTCTCCATCTCCTTCTGACGACGTTCAACTTTTTCAAATAGAATTGTAGGGTTGAGCGATTAATGCCATACATCTCTGAAGCCTGAGTGGTGCTAACCCCCTGCTGTAATATTGCATCCAGGGACATTTTAACCGAGTCTAAACTATACTTTCTGCCCTGTTTTTTTTCCAGCGATTTAAGCAACGCGCCTACGTCAACGTCTGGGCGTGGCCGCCTCATGTTCGGACCTTTTTTACATTCGAGGAAATGGGACGCCCAAAGGGCACCGCCATCACCACCCATCAAATTCCCTCTCGACCGAGACCGCGCTCCCGCCCCCCCACCTGCAACGAGGAAACCCAAACTAGTGTCGGCCGATCATTACACGACCCGTTTAACATTTAACAAATAAAAAAACGCAACGTTCGAGTCAGCAAACTTTAAAGTCACTAATGAACGAGTCCTTTCCTCTATTATTTTAGATTAATAAAAACCTGCTTATCATTAACTTGATACACAAAATACATATATGTATATATATATATATATATCCTATCCTTTTATCAGGTTTGTTTTATTTATTCCGATAGAAATGTATGCTTCGATTCAAAGTTTTTTTGAATCGAAGTTTCATTACAGACTACTATTTTAGATGCACATCATCTGCATAACGTGGTATTAATTTCGTGTGGGGAACTCTCATCGCGTATGAAATTATTCAGGAATATCTGAACGACACAATCGACAATTGGGAACGTATGAACATAGTTTGAAATCGACTCGCATATCGCGTAAATTCGTGAAAATACCCTGTATTTCGCTACTACATGACAAAAGAGAATCGAAAAGAAAATATAAAGATGTTACGTTCGTTCAACTTACCAGGATGTTGGGAGGGGTCGTGGGATGGGCCAGCTCTATTGTTATCCTGTTCCATCTCGTTCAGATCATTCATATCGTCATCCAGCGTTAGATCTTCGACACTTTCTTCTGGATCTTCCAAATATTCAGACTTTGGCTCGATGAGATTATCATTTGGCTCAGGTTTTTCTAACGGCAACTACGACAAGGAAAGCAACTTTATAAAAAAAAACAGTTTCTATTTATTTATTTAAATATT